ACAAACATAAGTAAGCACAACGGCACGGACGCCAGACCCTCAGACACACGAACATCCCTGCTGTGTCCCCGAACACGTCACAAGCACGTGGAACAAATATCTTAATTATAGTTTTGTTATGAATATAACTTATGAAAAAATTTGATAGGAATAATACTGTATATTACTAATTTTTAACTATCCCTTCTGGCAAACCTCATAACTCAGAATTTTCTCATATACAATGTTCAGTGCACAGAAATCTTGTGATTGGGTCAAATTCAGTAAGTTAAGTTATTTCTAAGTAAAACCCTCAAGTCTGAGTCAGTATTTGTAGCTCTTCTTTTGGCTGTTCTTAGGATCAGGGCTTCTTATGCCTTTTATTCTGGGGGGCGTGAGAGCCTTGTGTTCCGGAGAAAGCTAAAAAATATGTTAGGAAGGTGAAACGGTTCCAAGTTTTGCGTTCAGATTTTGTAGGTGCTAATATTGGATTTACTCTTTCAGATTTAATTTCTTTTCTGGGTCTGTTAGTTACTTAACAAATCCCATAGGTTTGTGTAATATTTTGTGTAGAAATTTCTTTTGTTATTTTACACCCTGTAATAGTCAAGTCCGTCTGCCTTTTAAACCCGTTGCAATAACTTTGCTGAGATATTAACACATTAGTAAAACTTTTCTTAAACAAACTGTCTATGTGTCATATTTGGTGTGATTTGGTAAAGTGGCATTCAATTTGGCAGATGGACAATATTACTAGAATTATAAGGTAGTATAGGGCAGCCTAGCTTAGGGTTTGAAACAGACATCTTAAATTTATCTAGTATGTCATGCCTCTCAATGTCTTACCTGCTTTATCTTAAAGAGCACATAAAAGGCTGGGCACAGTGGCTCACGCCTATAATCCTATCTCTGGGAGGCCAATTGCTTGAGCTCAGGAGTTTGAGATCAGCCTGAGCAACAGCAAGAGCCTGTCTCTACTAAAAATAAGAAAGATGGCTCGGCACCTATAGCTCAACCGGCTAAGGCGCCAGCCACGTACACCTAAGGTGGCGGGTTCGAATCCCCAGCCCGGACCCGCCAAACAACAATGACGGCTGCAACCAAAAAATAGCCGGGCGTTGTGGCGGGCGCCTGTGGTCCCAGCTACTTGGGAGGCCGAGGCAGAAGACTCGCTTGAGCCCAGGAGTTGGAGGTTGCTGTGAGCTGTAATGCCACGACACTCTACCCAGGGGGACAGCTTGAGGCTCTGTCTCAAAAAAAAAAAAAAAAGAAAGAAAGATGAGCTGGGCATTGTGGTGGGCGCCTGTACTCCCAGCTACTAGGGAAATGGAGACATGGAAGATTGCTTGAGCCCAGGAGTTTTGAGGGTGTTTGTGACACCGCAGCACTCTACCCAGGGTGACATAGTGAAGACTGTTTCAAAAATAAGCAAATACAGTAGCATAGGTGAAAATCTAAGAAATAGTCTCTAATAGTTAAAAATAGTATTCGTTTAAAAGGTTGAAATGTTTTGTTAGGAGAAAAGGTGTCTTGTTATTACTATCCTGGATCATCCGATGACTCACTTGTTTTAAATGAGATAGATTTGGAGAAAATGCCAATTTATAAAAACAGTCTATATTCTGACTTTTTCTTTTGGGAGTTTATTTTCCTATATAAAATTTTCGATGTCCTTTTCGTATTCAGTGAAACTAGTAGTGAACGATACTTACGTAACCAGTGGTCAAAAAAGAGGTAGTGATGACCCTTCCGTTTCCACAGGACCCCGGCTCCTAAAATAAGCTGGTCAGGTTCTGAGGTGTAACATGCTGTGTTTTTTGTTTGTTGTATTTTACTGTCAAAGAAGGTCGGAGTGTTGGTGCTGTATTTGGTTCACATACTTGCCTCCCTTCCCTCATAGCAGTCTGCTCCCCGCCACCTCTCTCTGGAACAAAGGAGATGGCAGGTTTCATGAGACCAGAGGTGCTGTCTCATCCTTGCATCTCCCAGACTCCAGCCTCCTCATACCCAGTGAGTGCTGCTGGCGCTCATGTGATTGTAAGGAGGGTGAATGAGAGCTGAGTCGATCACCAGGTTAGCGTCAGAGCAGAGTTACCTTGGTGCGCCTGCCTTAGTAAAGTGGTTGTTTGAGTTGCTAGTGACTCCTGTGCTCCCTTTGAAAAGTTCCCTTCTAAAACTGGGAGGAGATGCCAACTGCGACTGGAGACCACTCCTGAGGATTCCTGTGACCTTTCTCTTCTAGATCAAGAATTCCCAGGGAAAGGAAAGGAATCGCATTGAAACCTCTGCAGTAAGCAATGTAAACTATAAACGGACCTCCCCAGATACACAAGCTGTTCATCGGCAATTCCAGTGACATAAAGACACAAGTACTTCTTTAGGGAAGGTCACCTTTTTCTTTCCTTGACCCATTCAGAAAATCATTCAGAAAATCATTTTCGTCAAAATGCATTTGGTCAGAGTGTTAAGAAGATAGGTTTAATTTTTGTTTAATTCATGATCCTTATATATTCTATAACAAGCAAAGGGCAGGATTCTATCTCCTCACAGTGTTTCAGAGGACCTAGAGACAGAGGAGAAAAAAAGAATTAGGAATATCATAAACTGCCCATATCTTATACATTTGTAAGGGAGGCCCACACCTGGCCCTGGCCTCCTGAGTTTTCCAGCATCTGAGCCATCACAGCCATTGTCATAGCACTTGCAAATCCACCAGCAAGTAGCTTTCCTTACAAGGCCAAAAGGACTTTTCTGCCTTCCTTAAAAATGCAAGCTGCCTTTCTCTTACTCATCCTCAGTCCCAATCTTCATACATTCAGAAAAACTGGGGTTAAACTTTGCTAAACTAATAAACTCCCAAACCTTAATTTGGTTCTTAGCATAGTGAGATCAAGGATGTGATAAAAAATCAAAGGAAGGAAATGGTGAGAAACAGCCAGGGCAGCGAGAGGGCAACTAGTGACGGTGTCACATTGTGTGGTGAAAGCATCTTTCTCCAGAAAGCTCACAGTTCTGTATAAATACACGTCTCTTAGCCTTGGCATTTAAAAAATTAGGTTCATTCTTCCTAATGTGCCTCTGGCTGTTCCTATCTGCTGTGTGTATAATCCCCATCACCGTCTTCATGGAGAATTCTGGGAAAGTGCTCTGAGTGGTCACTTTCTCCAGTTGCACGGGACCTTATTTTCTCCATCCTCCTCCTCAACGTTGGGCCGCAGCTTTCTCCTTTTTTGTGGCCTTTGCTGCTTCATGCTTCACTTGTCTGCATTCCTGCAAACAGTTCATCTTGCTCTTTTCATCCCCAGAGCTTGCCCACAAAGTGTCCTGCGGTTCCATTCACCACCACCCAGCTTCACCTTCCTGCTATCATCATCTATGTAATCTTTCTTTTTGTGTGATCATTTTAATGAATTGCATTCCATTTATATGGCTACATCATTATTTAAAAAAAAAACTTGATGGCTGGTGCACATCAACCAGGTGCTCCTGGTTTTTCTCCTCATTCTACATATAGTAGTTGAAGATGGGTCTTTCCTCCCACCTCCCTGAACTGGCCAGTGCTGCCCAACAGACAGTTCCACGGGTCTGCTCTGTTGCTCCCGGCATCTCTATACTTTCTAGATGTTTCCTGTAATACTCCTTATTTACATAGTAGAACTATTTCTCCGCAAACCTGTTTTCCTCTAAAGTGTTTTTGTCTGATGAATGCTCGTTGGAATCGACAATCTTAGAAATGGAAAGGGTCCTCCGCTTTCCCACAGAGGAACACTCTGCCTTCAAACACACTCACATTCTTACTTCATATGTGGTGAAACTGAAGGCCCCAGAAGTGACTTGTTTAAGGTCCTACCTCTATTAAGTAAGCAAGCTGGACTACAGCTTCCTTGTGTTAAAAAGTGTGGCTTAGCGCCCAAGGCTTAGCACCAGGGGTGGCAGATTTGAACCCTGCCGGGTCTGCCAAACAACAATGACAACTACAACCAAAAAATAGCCAAGTGTTGTGCTGGGTAACTGTAGTCCCAGCTATTTGGGAGGCTGAGGCAAAAGAATCGCTTAAGCCCAAGAGCTAGAGATTGCTGTGAGCTGTGACGCTACAGCACTCTACCCAGGGTGACAGCTTGAGAGACTCTGTCTCAAAAAAAGAAAATTATCTGTGCTACGTTTGGAAGTATAGTCTGCCATAGCTGGAAATCACCGATCAGCAAAGCGCCAGAACAAAGTCGAAATGGACCTTGGAAAAGCCGTCTATTAATATTTATCAAGCACGAAGTCTCATTCTGCGAGACACCGCTCAGATGTCCCTTCCTGCAGGGAACCCTCCTGTGACTATCCCAGCTTCTGTCCTTTGTGCCCGCCCTTTCGCTCAGCGTGTTCTCTGGGAACTTTATAGCGCATTGTAATCAACCTGTTGATCATCGATCAATACGGCCCAGGAAGCTTCAGAAAGACCTTTAAACTGATGGGGAAGAAACACTTTAGGGGAAGCCAGAAGTGGCACTTTGCACAAAAACCAGAGGACAGCAGAGAGAAATGCATCAGGATTTCAAATGAGAGAAGAAAAACTGACATCACACGAAGAGGGAAAATGTATGCAAACACCGTGTAATTTTTTTTTTTTTTTTTTTTTTTTTGCTCTTCCCCAGCATGTCAGAGTAACCTAGAGGTGCAGCTGCTCGGGAGGCATTGCTAACACCAGGACCCGGCTGCTCTCCGCCCGGCCCGCCCGCACCAGGCTTTGCCCCTTTCTCTGCCGCGGCGGCGAACGCCCCCTGCCGGCGGTCCTTGGGCAGTGCAGTCGGGACCTCACGTCCCAGCCGCCCACCGCGGTAGGCGGGGCTAACCTGGACCAACCTCCCGCCACCGCCTCTCTCGGGTGGGCGGAGTCGCAGAAGGGGCCGGACTCTTTCTCCTGGGCCGTGATTGGTTAATGGTGACTGTGCGCGGTGACGTTGTGCCCGGACGGAGAGTTTCCGAGAGTGAGCGCGGGAACTGGAAGGCCGGAGGGTCGGGTAGGTGCCAGACGAGACTCGAACGGATTGTTCCGCGGCTCTCGCGCTTCCAGGGGTTCCGTGTGGAGCCCAGCGGCTTCCCCGCGAGCTTTCTGCCCTCGCCTCTGCCCCACCGGAGCGCCGCTCTGCCTCCAGGTGCCCGAGTGAGCATCCGTGCGTGTGTTGGGGGAGGGCTGGGCCTGTGTCGGTGGCTCCGAGATAGTGGGAGGGAGGGAGAAATCTCTCCGTCCTTCGGGCGCGGGGTCCCCATCACCCACCTCCTCGAGCCTTGGCGGTCACCGACTGGTCTGATGTCGCCAGGCCTGTGGCTCTGGGAAGTGAGGCATTGAGTAATTCTCGTAGCACTTGGCTTCATAGGCCCTTGTAGCCAGTACAAGCCATACATAGGCCCAGTACTTTGTGCCAAGCACTGAGCAGATCCGTGACTGGATTCAGATTTGGAACTGAAACAAGCACAGCCACTGAGGAAAAGGACTTCTATTGGAAAAGCAAATGGGAACAATTGTTGTATGGTGTGAAACAGGTGCGTGCTCGAGGTGTGCACCGTGGAAACAGAAGGGACAGCCTGTTTGAGAAACCGATATCTGACCTAAGCCTGGAAGGAGGAGACAAACCGCTGAAAAGTCTTGAGTTGTCTAGCCAGTGCCAGCGGCCTTACAGCCCAGGGAAACCTTTCCTTGCTGCAGATACATAGTTGCCTATCCTTGCAAACAAACGGAAAACACATTGCGGGCTATGCTGCTTTTATTCCCTTTAGGTTTCCATTTCTGAGAGGATGACAGAGGAACTAGATCTCTTGGGACAAGACTCTGATGGAGGCAGTGAGGAAGTGGTCCTCACTCCAGCAGAGCTGGTTGAAAGGCTGGAGCAGGTAAGCATTCCACGTGGAGTCCCTTTGCTCCAATCTTAGAGTTTTATTATTTTGATCTTAGTGGAATTCAAGGCATACTTAAAGAGAACAGGGACTAGATCTTACCATACCATCTGCACAGAGATAGGAAGTAGGGGAGATGTCCTTTATCAGAAACCTAAAAGCATCAAACACAGAATCCTCAAGTGGAGCTAGTAAGGTAAGTGACAGCTTTGGGCACATAAAGAACAGCTCACAGCGCAAGGATCTACTTGGAATTTGCAGGGATGGTAGAGTTCTGCACCTTGGTCCCTTGAGACATCTGCCATAAAGCACTTTCCTTAAGGGTCATATGCTAGTCATTTTCTTCCTTTTCTTCCCATATACAGGCATTTTCTTGAGTTAACTCTTGTTTATATTTCTACTGCTTATCTGAAATCATTTCTGAAATAATTCTTTTAGTCATGATTATATAATTCTTATAATTCTTTAGCTATGATTTATTGAGTATTTCCTGTGTGCCAGTAACTGTGTTAAGTTCTTTACAGTTACCTTCTTTTGAAGCTCTGGTAGTTTGGGAATTCAGACTATCTGGATTTAAATATCTCTATCCCATTCCTCTGTTATGTGACCTTGAATAAGTTCTGTAGTTTGTCTCAAGCCTTTCCTTGGCTGTAAAATGGAGATAATAATCATAGCCATTTGCCAGCCTTGTTGGGACAATTAAATGAGATAATATATTTGTAGTATAAAGTGCTAGGCATGTTCTCTGACACATGCTGACCACTCACTAAATCTTAGTTGTTAATAGTAATTATCTGAACCCTCTCTCACTAACTGCCCCTTCCCAGAGGCTTTCACATTAGCTACTTTAATATTCTTCATTCTTTCCTGCCAAACATGGTATCATGAATGACAAAACTGAAGGAAGATGATTTTTAAATATATCTTTTATGATAATTCTTACTGTTTAGCAGCAGTTCTTAATCTGTTTTTATATCACAGACCTTTTGGGGTACTAGTGAAAATACCAATCCCTCTTCCCAGACTAACGCACATGTGCACCTGTGCAGAATTTCAGGGTGTTCACACACCTTGTGACATCAGACTTAGTCTGTGGGATGCAGTTTAGGAACTTCTGTTTCATCAGGAGAGGGTTCATTAGACAAAAATCATAAAGCATAAAGGAAGTACGTTAAAATTAGGAACTTTTGTTTATGTGCCTTGGTGAGAATAAAAAGGAAGGCACCAAACTGGAAGAAGATATTTATAAAATATATAACTAATAAAAACTGATCATCCATAGTACATAGATGGGCCTTACAAACTGCCCAATAGGAAAATGAAGCCTTAACAGGCGTCTCCCAGGAGAGGAAGCCGATATGGCCAATAAGCACATGAAAAAGATTTTTAACCTTTTTATAATCAGTAAGGTGAAAGTTAAAGGCACCGTGAGATGTCATTTCATACCTATCAGACTGGCAGAAATGAAAAGGCAAGCAATATAAAGCATGGGGAAATGTATTTATACCCCCCATAATTTGGTGGGGTACAAATAAGTCTGATCACTTCAGAAAGTATGATTTAGTAAAGTTGAAGGTACATACTTTGTGGCCTAGAAATTCTACTCCCAGGTACATGCAACAATAAAATACAAGTTGATCCATTATTTCACTTCTTGGGAACACAGCGGCGTCCTTCCTGATTCATCAGTGCAGATTTCAGCTTGCTCAGCTTATCAGTGTGGCAGGATGGGGGTGGGGGCCTTCATTTATTTTTATGTTTCTTGATTTTTGTGTATCTCGAAACTTTCGTAATGACCCACATAACATGTGTTGGTGGTGATAATTGGAGAAGCAGAGACCAAAGGATGTCGGGAGAAATGCTAAAGTGAATTTCCTGTAATTGGAAGATAAGTATAGCTTTCCTTAGTCACTTACAGATATTTCAGCTCTCTAGGCCTTAGTAATTTCTAAGAAGTTCTGAGCAGCTGGGCCTGAGTCGCACGTTAGAGACTTAACCTCTTGCTCTAAAACTATTTAATAGATGAGCATCCACTTCACTGTGATCCTTTGTACTGGGGGACTTTTAGTACATTACTCAATCTATATCTTTTCATCAATGAGATGAAGACAACTGTCTACATTTTCTCTGAGACATAATAATGATGAATGAAAAAGTGTTTGTAAAGTCTCTGGGTTTCTGGACTGGAGAGGGGGTGGTTTTTCTCAGTGTTGGTGCTGGTGCCCCTGGTGGCCAGGGCTGGTGCAGCGGCAGAACTGCTGCTTGTTGGGAGGTGCTATTGGGGAACAGCAGGTGGGGTCCTGTCCAGGTGGGTTTCATCCTGACCACTGAAGTTAACAGTGATTTTTTTTTTTTTTTAAGTATTGTTTGAATATAAGGTTGAGAACGCATGAGGAAAAGCAGTCGTTAAACACAGTTTGTCTTCAAAGCCTCTCCGACCGGTAGGCAGTTTTCTCTGCCTGGGACATCTGTGGATCTCATGGGGTTGATGTGACTCACAGGGTTACTCAGCTCTATTATAAGGGACCTCACGTTTTTCCGGCATTTGTCTTTTAGGCCTGGATGAATGAAAAGTTTGCCCCTGAGCTGCTGGAGAGCAAGCCTGAGATTGTGGACTGTGTTGTGGAACAGCTAGAGCACATGGTAAGAGCTGGTGGTCTCAGGGCCACGCAGCTAAAAGCTTTGGCCAGCACAGTGGAGGCTGTGGTCTGCCAGGAAATCTGTTGTGCTTGGTGCAACTAGTTTTGTTTTTAAATATTCATTTAGTCATCTGTATTTGTAAAGCATGAAAGTCGCTGTAAATATCTGGATATTGGCTTCCCTTGAAAAGTCTAAAAACCTGCGGGCATCACTGGGCCCACATTTCTGTGTGACAGCAGCGGACTCTGGCAGGTCCTTCACAGCCCAGCCTGCTGTGCTGCCTGCCTGCCCAGCCCCTGAGACATTCAAGTGTGTGGTCCTTGGCTTGGGTGATCTGGGCTTACTTCATCATCAGCTTCAGAGTCGCTTTAAAATGATATTTTACGGTTTTCCAGCCAGAGTTTTAACTCTGCTTTTTACACCCATCAGGCATTTCTTCTGTGTCTGTCTTACCTCCTTCACAGTCGGATCGGATTCCGTGTGCTGTTATTAGCTCCTTTCCAACTGGATTCGACTTCTTCTGGGCCCTTCTGGCTGACCATGTTCAGATTCTACCCAAATGGTCATTTTCTAAAATGGGTGTTGTTTGAACTTTATCCAGCGAGATTGTGGTCATATGATTGTTTGTGTAATTAAAAACTTGAAAGTGAATGAGAACTCTGATGAGTGTTTTTGTTTTCTTGTGACTGGAACATAATCTTTGGGTCCTCAGTGTTGCCAGTGGTGATGGTCCTCGATCCTTAAACATCTTGTTTTTTATAAACTTTAGTTTCTCTTTTAATAGGAAGAAAATCTCAGGAGAGTCAAGAAGGAGGATCTGAAGGTCAGTATCCACCGGATGGAGCTGGAGAGGCTCCGCTACGTCCTGAGCAGCTACCTGCGGTGCCGACTGGCCAAGGTCAGGGACACCTGCGGACGCGGCGCCATCCATCCTGGGGAGAGGCTGGGCTGGGGGCGTCTGGGCTGCTCAGAGCCCACTAGCAGTGTAGCTAAGAGTAAGGGAGGCCAAGTGCTTGTCCTCAGGAAGCACAGATGGAACACACATTGCCCCACCCTCTGGGACACCATGCACAACTTTAGTCCATTTGGCTGCCCTGTGAACGGTGTCCCCTGGGAGTTACAACAGGGCAGTGCTGACAGCAGGGATGTTTGCTTTGGTTTTGATTGGAGGAGAACTGGTTCAAAAATTATTTTGCACCAAAGGGACAATGCTGATGTCAAATGGACGAGGATGGCTTGGCATTCTGCTAAGCTGTGACCATCTAATTTGTAAAAATGAAATTGTGAAACATTCTTATTTTGTATGATGCCTGTTTTAACCCTGGAAAATTCTTCCTTGAAGTTGCTTTTCATTTGGCTCCATTGTCTTACTTAGTTATTACAAATGAAATGCATTCTCTGTCTCACATAAGAGGGCTTCAGATACCTGGAGGCAGCTCACAAGTTTCATCACGGTCTCTAAGGTGCATATTTCAGTCATTTGGGCACATTTACAATCCTGATCTCTTTTGTGAAAAAGTTCTAGTTAGTCAGTGTCCTTAAATTATGCTACCTGGTACTAAACACTAAACACTATTCCACTGTGTTAATAGTTTGGCTCCTTTTATGAAAAACAGGATGATCATTCCCCTTACTCTGGGTATTTAGTGGTAGCAGTGCCAGTCACATCACGGCAGCCTGTGTAACGGTGCCTCATGCTAAGCTCAATTGACTCCACCACTCCTGAAGTTAAGTGATAACTTCATCCAGGCACCATCCTGTATTTATGTGGCTTACTTTTTGACCCCTAAATGTGGGGCTTGAAACTTAATCTGTCTTAAGCTCCATCTCCCTGGTCTCTGTATTCTAGTCTTATCACCTAATATGTTAGCTGTCTTTTAATGCTCAGCAGTTTTGGTAAACATGCCATAGAAATCTGAGCTGATTCATTAATTAGATGAGAGCAACAGTAAGAGAATTTCACCAGAGACGTCCCCACAGACTGCTGTCTGCCCATTGGATCAGCATTCTGTGTTCAGCCATTTATAAGCACAGTCTCTGCCGTCCCCCAGCCCCACGTTTGCAGTTGATCCCAGGAGATGGGGGGTCACAGAGACCTGGGCACACGTCTTATAATGTGCCTCCCCAGCTGCAGGCTGTGCAACCTGTTCTTCATGGCAACCATGTCCTTTTCTTTGACAGATGCTTTCATAGTTTTTATTTATCCTCACAGATAGAGAAGTTTTTCCCTCATGTCCTCGAGAAAGAGAAAACACGCTCTGAGGGAGAACCTTCCAGCCTTTCTCCAGAAGAGTTTGCCTTCGCCAAAGAGTGAGTAAGCAGTAAGCGTGGGACCCGTCCTTCCCTGGCCTTGGTGGTCGTGTCCAGGAAGCCCGTCCGGAGCCCTCTCCACTGGGGTCTGTTCGCTTTGGCGACTGCTGCCTGTCATTTGTGCCACAGCAGTTTGAGTTTGTGTCTTTCAGGTACATGGCCAACACCGAGAGCTACCTTAGAAACGTTGCCTTAAAGCACATGCCTCCTAACTTACAGAAGGTGGACCTCCTGAAGGCAGGTAGGCAGAGCACTCTCCTTTCAGATGTTCTCAGGAGCCGTTGTTTACATCCCACGTATCCTCAGATGCCTGCACTAGGAACTTCATCTTCACTCTTTTCTTTAATACGGAAAGTTAAGTGTGTAGATAGGCAGAACAAGGATCGTGGGAGTGTTCTGGCTGAAGGTCCCTGAGCACAGACACCAGTGGCTGTCGCAGTGTTGCCTCTGTGTTCTTTAGCTCGTTTGACTCTTATTTAAAAAAAAAATGTATTGTTGGGGATTCATTGAGGGTACAAGAAACCAAGTTACACTGATTGCATTTGTCAGGTATAGTCCCTCTTATAATTCGTTTGGCTCTTAAGATGTCTTTATAACGGTGACTCATTCGTGGGGTCAGCCATCCACCCTCTGTAGCTGTCTCCTGGGCATCTGTGCTGTGCTGGGAGAGCCTGAGCACAGGGACTACAGGGACCGTTTCAGCACTGCCTCTGCTCTTGGGGAGCTGGCAGGCTTTTCCTCACAGGTTCCAGGATAGAGCTAGGGGGGAGGGCGGCCTCCACTGAGTCCCATTGCCTCAAGAAAGGGCTCCTGATCTTTTCATTGTGAGTTTCTCTGATTTTGGAATCGGGATAGGATGGAGAGTGTGGGGGAAGAGAGGGACAGCAGCCAGGTCGTGAACCTTAGCCAGACCCCCTGCCTCAGGCCCTCCTCTCACTGTCCCCCAAGATCTGCTGAGCTGGGGAAGGGATTAGGGTCGGAGTGCCTAATGGTAGATTGACCTCCTGGGCATCTCTGGCTCATAGTTAATCTATGATCCAGAGAGTCCTTGTCCCTCAGTCTTTCACGGCTTGTCATATCTGAGCAAGGCCTTATCAGGCAAAATTGCTAGGCCATGTCAAGCTTTTGTCAGGGAGACAGGAATCCACCTTGTTGGAAAACTAAGTGGGTGTGCTGAGATCTCCAGCTTGGGTACAGCAGGCCCTGGAAATTCACCTCTGCCCTAGCCTGGGCTGGGGTGGCGGTGGGACTGTCTCGTCCAGTCAGGCTGCTCGTAGGTCTGCAGGCAGAGAAGTCCGAGATGACCTGGTGTCCGTAGAGCCTGCTCCACATAGATGGCGCCTTCTGTGGGCCCTCTACAGGAAGGGCCCTGCAGGCGAGCTCCCTCAGGCTCATTTCACAGGTCACTAATCCAACCTCTGTGTGTCCTTAGCTCCTCTTATAAGAACCCCAGTCAGATTGGATTAGGGCCCCACGGCCTCGTTTTAACTTGAATACCTCTTTTAAAGCCAGCTGTGCCTCCAAATGCAGCCCATTCTGGGGTGCTAGGATGGGGCTTCAACACAGGGAGGACACAGGTCTGTAGCCCCAGGAGCCAGAACTGAACCAGATCTGAGACTCCAAATGGGTTACTTTGCTGAGCCTGCCTGAGGGGTACGAGGGGCCAGGGCCATGTCCAGCCCCTCCCTGGTCAGCTGTTTTTGTCTCTACCTTAGACTGAGGAATAGGAATGGAGCAAGAGCCATGCCCCTAACCATTTCCCAGTGGTTTCTCATCCAGGTGGTTAAATCAGCCTCAGGACTGCTGCTGGCATACATGCGATTCCTGGAGCAGGCTGGGCCACTGTCCCAGTGCTCTCCCGATACCAGTGCATACCTCCCCAAACACTCACCTGTGGCTTGTCCTGGGTCCCCCAGGGACAAGAGCCAGACTCCTGGAATTGGAAGCTGCATGGTGGGACTATCCTGCCCTCACAAAATCAGGGGCTTCCTTGCTTGGTTCAATGCCCCCAGTCCCCTGAGGCCTCTGGAGCACTGCAGACCCTAGTGTCAGTGGTTTGGGGGGCACATTAAAACCCAGGCTGCTACCAGTGGGGCCAGAAGAGTCCAGTGAAGCAGGAGTTGCAGGCCCAGAGCCCCCAAGCAGCCAGGAGCCCCTCCTTAGACCTTTGGAGCCAGTCATCCCGAACCCCTTCCTGTAGACGAGGGAGCTGAGGGCAGTGTGAAACCTGCCCAGGGCTCTTAGGACTGAGAGGTGTCTCAGGTACAAATGGAACTCTAGGCGAGGAGGGCTTGTCTCAGAGCGGCTGGCTTGGGCCTTCACTGCCTGAAATGTTGGTGGCAATTTCTGAACCTGTAATTGACCGAGGGGCCTCAGGCGGGCTTACACCTGTATTCCTTAGTCTCACATTCAAGACTGTCACCACAGGAGCCAGTCTCCTCTCACTCCGTTATGGAAGAGTATTTACTAACCAGACCCATGCACCCTCCTCCTGAAACCTCGTGTGTTTCTACCTCCACCCTTGCTGTTTGTTTCCTCCCAGACTCACCCCTCCCCTGGGAGTCTGCCCCTTTCCTTCAGGGCCCAAATTGCCCCCCAACCCCCCACTGAGTGTAGGTGCCACAGTGCGAGGCCTGTCCACTGCCGGGGGGTCACGGCCTCATCCTCAGAGACCATGTGCACGCTGGCTCTTGTCCCCCACCACGTGTGGCAGACTTCCCTGAGCATAGCAAGTACTTACCACCTACTGAGCACATGGTTGCTATAGGGAGCCAGGCCTTCTTCAACCATGGGTCATTACGTAAGTTTTGAGATACACAAAAATTAAGAAATGTAAAATGTGTGTGGACGGAAACAAATGAACGCCGGTAAGCCGAGCGAGTTGAAACTTCACCCAGTGAATCAGGAAGGACGCTGTCGATGGTGTTTCCTGGAAGAGAAATCATGGACCACACACAGCCTGTCTCAGAGCTTTGTGTGACTGTCAGAGGTCCCTGAGTGCTCGTTACTGCTCATCTCAGCAACTTCTCCCGTACTGACCTTGGACGTATTGTTTTTCTGGCAGTTCCCAAACCAGATCTCGACTCATACGTGTTTCTGAGAGTGAGAGAGCGACAAGAGAACATCCTGGTGGAGCCAGAGTCGGACGAGCAGAGGTGAGCTGCGTGTGTCCCCCAGAGGGCTCCTCCTGGGCCTCGGCTTTGCACACAGCCCGGCTCTGCACACGGCCCGGCTCTGCACACAGCCCGGCTCTGCACACAGACCTCTTTTCCTCTTTCCCAGGGACTATGTGATCGACCTGGAGGAGGGCTCCCAGCACTTGATCCGCTACAGAACCATCGCACCTCTGGTTGCTTCCGGAGCGGTACAGCTGATTTAAAAATGAACAAGGATGATGATGCAGAGCCTTGGGGGGAAATACTTGAAACCCTCTTGTGCCTGGGGACAGTGATGAGGTGGCTCTCCTGGTGTGGCTTATGTGGCTTACATGGACATTGAAGAGGAGCTGGAGACCGATGTCTGATCCTGCCCTGTCCCCCTTTCTGCCATTTCAGCCAGTGTCAGCAGAGGGGGCTGTTGCTCTCTGCTTGTTGTGCTGGGTGGGCAAATAAATAGACTCTCACTGTGTCCAGCTTCTCCCTTTCTGGTGCTCTCTGAGCTAAAGAAAGTAAAGCAAAGATTGTTCATAAAAGGCCTCCCTGCTTGTGATCAGGGGACTGTATTTAGCCCTAACCCCACAATAGTGGGAGAGTTCATTTAACCTTTCTGATAGGAAGATTGTAAATAGGTTAAAGAAAACAACCCATGGCCTCCTTCTGTAACAGGCTATTGGATTGTGTGAACTAACCTTTTGGATCTTCAAACCAATTTCTGTCAGCCTTAACGGAAAATCACAAACCAATAAACCATCATTAGATGTGAGTTCGTGGTGGAAGGCCGTCTGTGTGCTCAGCTTGCAGTCTGCGGAAGTGTGTCTCCCCACCGCCCCATATCCCTCCTGACTCTGGCAGCTCCGCCACGCCGGCCATCTGGCCATCTTGGCGGAGGCTGTGTTTGCAGAGGATGTTAACTGTCCTGCGTGTGACCTCTCAAGCTGCTTTTCTCTTTTAAGCCCTTCACTTTTTCAAGGGAAATGGCTGATGTAAATCTTATGTGAACGGCCAGTCTCACAGTGATACCTGGAGTTAGGCTGTGCAGACAGTCAGTGCTCAATGGATTGTCATTCTTGGACAGGACAAAAGTGACCTGCAGTCCGTTCTTTTGCCTGATGAAAAGTCAGCAAATTTTCATGGACAAGATAGAGGCTGCAAGAGTAATCAGTATAATACCTCTCTCATCCCAGGAGAGATGGGTGGGGAAAGCCAGGAAAGTTTTATTCATTAATAAAAGGATTTGGTCTTCACGTAGTGCCTGTTTTCTCCAAAGTATCTTTGTCCTCAGCTGTTCATCAAATAGTGCCTAGCATAGCTCAGGGCACCAGGACTGTATCTGAGAGCAGAACAGCCACTGTCCCTGCACAGGTAGAGCAGAGTGCTTTGCAGGGGTTAGGGTAGGGTGACCATGCAGGTTCATGTTGCTTTATAAAGTAAACACCTGGGGCTGGGAAGTCAGCTCATGGTCCGCAGGCTCTGAGAAGCCTGGTGGCAGCATCACAGCATCTGCTTCTGGTGAGGCCTTGGGGAGCTTCCCATTGCAGTGGAGGGCCAAGGGGGAGCAGACAGCACATGGTGAGAGAAGCAGAGGGGGGTGGCAGGGTCCTCCAAACAACCAACTCAAAGTGAGAACTGACTCAGGAGGGGAGGGCCCTGTGACCTAGACACCTCCCACCAGGCCCCACCTGCAGCACCTACATCAGATTTCAGCATGAGATACGGAGAGGCCAGGCATCCAAACCATGTTAATGACTTACCGGAGAGACGGGGTGGGGGTGGGAGGCATCTGGAAGGGTCTCATCAGAGAGAACATTTAGACCTATGGTTTTCAACTGGCATGTAGCAGAAATTTTTAAATTTCATGAAGTTATTTTTGAAAGACATTCAAAACTTTCTTTTACTCTGTTTTTTGTTTTTGTTTTTTGATCAACATAATTTCGGTGTGCCATAGAAGTTATAGGTTTAAGTGTGTCATGAGATTAAAAAGGTTGAAAAACACTGATTTAATGACATGAAGGCTATGTTAACCAGTTTGACAGAAGTGTTTCGGATTGTGTGTGAAAACCTCACACTGTACCCCAAAAGTGCATTAATGTACATAGTTACCATCCAATAAAAAAAAAAAAGAAAAACACTGATTTAAGACAGATCTAGGGTGGCGCCTATGGCTCAGTAGGGTAGGGCACCAGCCCCATATGCCAGAGGTGGGTTCAAGCCCAGCCCCGGCCCCCCCAAAAAAAGACTGAGATCCAAATAACTGGAAGGAGCTGGACATGTGGAGATAGGAAGGGGGGTCCCAGAAGATAAGACGGCTTGTGCAAAGGCCCCGAGGCAGAAACCACCCCTGCCTAGTCAGTATGGCTAGAGGCAAGGACAAAACAAACTGGTGCAAAATAAGGTCACTTAGGACCTTACTTTTTTATCAGGGATCCCATCTGGGCCCCACAGCAGTCCTGAGAGCAGGCTGGGCGGCTGTACGTAAATGGTGGCACCCAAGTCTCTTTCCTCCTAGTCAGGCTCTCAGCCATGGTGCCAAGCAGCGAGGGGACTTGGCTTCAGTCAAGGAGCAGAACAGTGCTGCCTAAGCCTCCGTGTGCACACCAGTCCCCTGGAGATGGTGAGACATGGCCTGACTCGGAGTCTGCCGCAGGGCTCTAGACCGTGCATTGGCAAGGAGGACCCAGGTTGTGCAGTGGCTGCCAGGCCCGGGCTGCCTTGCGAGCACGGGGCTCTGTCTCCCTGTGCCCTCCCTGTCTGTTCTGGCTGCACAGAGCAGTTTGCATTCTCTACTAAAGCCACAGACTGGCTCGCTCCATTTCATAAGCTACGGCCTGAAAGGAAGACTGGTTTAATAAAGGGTAAGTTGAATTTCAAAACCAAGTAGAAAGGGAAATGATGTGGCTTGCTTGACTTTGATTTTCACGTTTTTGGTTAATTTTGTTTTACTGGATTCACCACTGGGCCAGGAAAGATGGGTGGCTCACACCTGTAATCCTAACACTCTGGGAGGCCAAGGTGGATTGATCCATGAGCTCAGGAATCCGAGACCAGCCTGAGCAAGAGGGAGATCCCATCACTGCTAAAAATATAAAAACTAGCCAGGTGTTGTGGCGGGTGCCTTGGTCCCAGCTACTTGGGAGGCTGAGGCAAGAGGATTTCTCAAGCCCAGGAGTTTGAGGTTGCTGTGAGCTATGATGCCATGGCACTCTACTGAGGGTGACAAACTGAAACTCTGTCTCAAAAAAAAAAAAAAAGAGGGGTGGTGCCTGTGGCTCAGTGAGTAGGGTGTCAGCCCCATATACCAAGGGTGGTGAGTTCAAACCCAACCCTGGCAAAAACTGCAATAACAAAGAAAATAATTAAAAATAATAATAATAAAGTTTAAAAAAAAAAAAAGAAAAAAAGAAACTCACCATTGATAGATGACAGAGCATTTCATCAAATACTGGCATCATCCATTGTCATAAGCTTGTGCCTAGCAAGACAGATATTGCTGAGATGTGTCCATAGGTCCCTGTATGGGTTTGTCCCATCACAGTAATCACCTGTCAAATGTGCTTACTCTTCCCAGGGCCCAACTCCCAATGTGGCTTTGGTGCCACCTTCAGACGTATTAACTCTCCTTCTATGATGTATAGGAGTTAACTATGTAGCTTTCAGAGAGTATTTTTAGGCAAACACATTACATATCAATTCTTTGTACATATGTAGTGTTAAGTAATTTTTTTTTAATTTTGTTTTTTACCTTTTATTATTATTATTTTTTTTGTAGAGACAGAGTCTCACTCTATCACCCTTGGTAGAGTGCCGTGGCATCACACAGCTCACAGCAACCTCCAACTCCTGGGCTTAGGCGATTCTCTTGCCTCAGCCTCCCAAATAGCTGGGACTACAGGTACTCACCACAATGCCTGGCTATTTTTTTGTTGCAGTTTGGCAGAGGCCGAGTTTGAACCTGCCACCCTTGGTATATGGCCGGACCCACTGAGCCACAGGCACCGCCCAAGTGTTAAGTAATTTATCATGGGAAGCGAAACATTCCAAACTATTGGAATTCTTTTTTAAGACATGGTTTCTCAAATGTTATCTAATCACCTACTTGTGAATATACTCTCATTATATTGTCAAAAATATGCATTTTTTAAAAAAGAAAAGTAAGTAGTCAGTGCCTTCTCAACAGATTTGGTTTCAAATACGTAGGCTATTTCCAAACAATTAGATATCTCCTCCATAGCTGAAAAATAAGTGCTAGGGGTTAGAAATGGTTCTTTCTTTTCCCCTAAATAGTTTCTAACCACCCTTTTATTCCTACAGTTTTATGATTTTATCTTTATTAAAGTCCCACCAAAATTCTTTGGGGAATCAAGTAAGGTATTCAGAGTTTCACATCAGCAACGCTGGAGTAGACTGATTTGGGCACACACAGTGTACCAGCATGCCTGCAGCCTAACTTCCAGAATAGGTCATGAAAATAATATAATGAAAAATGGCACCTGCCACGTCTAACTCTGTTAACAAACACAGCACGTGCCACCCACTCTGGGCTCTTCAGGCAGGCCTGCCCCCAGCCTCCAGACAAGCGATTTGGCCCTTGGTCTGAGTGAGACGCCTTCATTTTTATGATAGGTCATCAGCTTTGCCATGTTCTGGCATCTGAAGCTTTCTGATCTCCAATTAACAACATGCTGTGTGCCCGCCTCCGGGAGCTCAGTCACAGCAGGCTGCTAACCACAGTTTTGTCAATGGTTCAGCAGGTGAAGCCAGAGAAGAGCCTTGGTGGGTCTTCTAGGTTCCTCTAGGGTCCTCAAACTAGATCCATAAGTCAGCGTCCGTGGATTAATGTATGAGTTCCTTGCTCTTAGCGGAGAAGCAACCATGTGAATAACGTCCCCCTGCCATCTACAAGCTAGAGCTGAAAACATTATCAGTTACACATCCATTGTTTTCTGCACAAAGATCTACATGATACATTTTTCTTAGACTTCAATGTAAGTAAGAATTTGTCTCTTCGAACTTTAGGACTCCTTAGAACTTATCAGGACCTATGAGGCAGATGGGTCCTGCTGGGTCCCCTATCGGGACCCCAGAGCCACTGAGTGTGTCACTGCCTTCCCCCAGCTCCCCGTGTCTTCCCTTAAATATTTCTAATTTCCCTTCTATACTTAACAGTGTTATTATTCAGGTTTGCCTTAATATTAAAAACTACCCTAAATTCGGGAGAGAATTAAGTAAAGAATAAATAAGTACATATTAGTAAGCTAGACATATATTAGTAACCTGAAGTTCCCACTTTTGTTTTTTGAGACAGAGTCTCACTCTGTCACCCTGGGTAGTGCTGTGGCATCATAGCTCACAGCAACCTTGAACTCTTGGGCTCACGTGATCCTCTTGCCTCAGCCTCCTGAGAAGCTGGGGACTATAAGTGCCCACTGCAACGCCTGGAGAATTTTTCTGTTTTTAATACAGATGGGTCTC